TCGTCCCTCGGACACATTTTTGCAAACATGGGGCAAGAACCATCGGGCTCCCAAATCCGACGCCTGTGACCGCACCACTAGTTTTGCCTGGGTCGAGGCAGACTGGCGACAGCTGGAGAGGGAGTATGGTCTTGTCAACGGCCTCCAAGAAGCCCCTAACGCCCTCAAGATCGCAAAATCTACTTATGACCCCGCTGCGACAGCAGTTTGCTTTTGCAATCCAGCCTTGCTCAAAACCACTTTCGACAGGCTCGTGAACCACCATTACATCAAGCTTTGTGGGGATGGCACATTCCGACTGACTTCCGGCAAGTGGGTCTTAATATCGGTTGGTGTTCTCTCTAAGCATTATGCCCCTGCCTCCGGTGTGTATGCCTTCAGGATTGCATTCCACCCACTGATGTTCGCTTTGACTAATAAGGAGAGCCAACCCACCTATCGGTTTCTTTTCGATGCTTTGGTTTCCTGCTCTGAGCAATTTGCACAGGTCAACTTGCTGCATGCATGTCGGCAATACCATGCAGACCTGCACTTCGGAGAAGACTTGGCAATGAAAAGCATCTTCCACCACGCAGATCGTGTGGCAGACTGGGCGCATCTCATCGGCGCTTGCGCGCGCAGCAAAACTCATGTCACGAAGGAGGAAGGCGCTCTAGCTTGGAGAGCTGGCATATTTTCGACCGTCGAAAAAGATTTGAGCCCGTTTGGCAAGCGCCTTTTGCCATTAGTCAAGCGCACAATCTTTTGTCTTCGCTCTGTGCCGACCGCAATCATCTTTCATACCATCACCGATTTGCTTTTTCGAACATTGCTGGCCCAAGAACCTCCTGAACGAAAAGCCGTCTCAAAGATGCAGCGCTTCTATTTTGCCAAAGTTCCTGCTGCAGCAGCCCGTATTCGTTTTGAGTTGAAAGGCTGGCCAGGCGACCCAAGCTTCTTGTTTTCCGCGGATTGGTGGCGCGGTATCCAGCGCATTCAGCCAGGGTCTGCGTCAGGCATCCAGGCGCAAGAGTCGTGGCACAAGCGCAAGCTGAAAGCATATTTATCTTTACGCAGCGACCTGCCTACGTTTTGTAAGTCTCTTGAGGGCTTCACTCGCTCTCGGCTTCACGAATTGCGTGCTCATGACTGTCCCCTGCCTGATGTTCCAAGAGAGCCGTTTCCCGACAAAACAGTGCTCCACGACTCAGTCAAGTTGACCGCTGCAGGGCGGACCTCTGCACATCAGTTTTGGCGCACAAAGTCTTACGATGTCTTCGCCCAGGAGGGCACGGGTTTTTGTTGCGATGCGCCGGTCCTTGTGCTCCCACGATCACTCCACTTCCACGTGGCTGCAGGTCCCCGATTCAGAAGTGGGCTCTCCCCCTCATGGGCTTGCTCAAAAGCTTGCTCCTCTCATCTTCGCTGACTCATCGCCTGCCCTAGAAGCTGCCCTTCAGCGCTTGGATTTTGGCGCGTCTCCCCTCTCCGACCTGGAGAGGCTGGTTCGTTTCTTCAACGATCATGTTCTGGTTGTCGTTGGGCCGCAAGCAAAAAAGTTTTGGCGGCGAGAAAATGTAGAAGGGGAAGACGAGCAGCTGCACACACAAGCTTGGTGTGCCTCTTGCGAGACGTTCTGCTTGCACGCAAGCTGCGAGCACACCCATGCTGCTTTCTTGCATTTAGAGCACATTTCGATGCAAGTTCCTGTGTTTCCAGAGCGTCAAGCTCGCACACCGCTCTTCCAGCAGCAGCCAGTTCAACAGCTAATTTTGCCTACCCAGCGTCGGCAGGTGACTGCGCAGTCCCGCGTCCCTATCTCTTTGCCACCTTTTTCAGGGCCTTCGCTGGCCAATTTCATCCGGGCATACGACCTGCATCTCTGGGGACCTTTGTTTCACAAACAGCAGACCTCGGCCCACCAAATTTCCTCCCTTCCCGTTGCGGATCTCATTGCAATCTTCCCCGCTATCCCTGCTGGAGTTCTTTGCAAGATCCAGAGCGCTGCGCAAGAGTGGCTTTCTAAGGCCAGCTGGTGTCGCGTGTTTGATCTTACCCTTGCTTTCGCGCGTTGCAGGATGACGACACTGCTGCTGCCGACTTTGAGGCATGGGCTGTATTTTTTGATACTTTTTGCTCACGTCCGTTTCCCACGTCAGGACTTGGACACAGCAGAAGGCACGCCGCAGGCTGGATGATTCTTAAGCATGCATTCTGCGAAGTTCATGTACAATACGCCATATCCACCTTTTCCCAACCAATGTCGCTGCTTGCTTCAGGATGTGGGCAGTGGAGAACCACCTCCGAGACCGGTCGAGGCCCTGACATACAACCAGGTCTTTCTCGCAGCTCGCGTGTTTTGTTTGCCCTTGACAATGCTTGCGCCTATTCATATTCTTCCGGATTATGCGTCTCCTTTAGGCTCCTCTTCCAAAAGTTCCTCCTCAAGTTATGGCCTCAGCTTGCCAAGTTGGTGCATCCTACACTTGCGTGAGCCCCTCGATGCGAGGCCAGAGATGCACCTGAAAAGGCGTTCCAGCTGATTCGTGTCATTCCATACCATATATATATTCTATTAATACTTCTTTATCTTCTCTCCTATGCTCGCGATGTTCCCAGGAAGCGCAACCACCTCCCCCACCTTCGCCATGGAAGGACCTTTACTTTGCAACTTGCCTTGTCCTCGCACGCCGTCCTTCCTTGCTCTGACTTGTCAGGGAATGAGCGCTTCCGAGCGCATAGTTGCATTACGCGATGCCTATCCTAAGTGATAGAAACCTTTTCACTGATTCAAAAAAGGCTGCTCCAGCGCCCTGCGTCTGCACTGCACCACTACTACCGTTACTATGATTATTAGTTCTACGAATATCGCTATTGTTTCTGTTTCTGCGTCTTGTCCTGTTTCCTCCTACTACAACAACTACTACCACTACTAATTTATTGCTACCACCTACTACTACTACTACTACGACTACTACTACTACTACTACTACTACCTACTACCTACTACCTACTACCTACTACCTACTACCTACT